TATTTATTAGATATATATATATATATATATATATATATATATATATATTTTGGTCAATTTTGGATTCTCTCTCTCTATCTCTCTCTCTCTCTCTCTCTATTTTTTTTTTGGCGTATTGCAGAATTTGCATGTCCTACATATTTTTCTCTGAAGATTATTTTTTTTCTTTTTGGAATTTTAGATATAGATTGCGTTTGGCATGATGAATTGGACTGGATTGTGGTTTGTGATTGCTTTGGATTGGGTTGGATTGTACTGTACTAAGCTAAGAAATCGAGTAATTCTGGAATATGTATGAAGATTGATACACAAAGTAATTATTAGATTTTTGATGAAAATAAATAATACATAGGACCAACATGAGTCACCTAGCATATATTAAGCTAAAAAGCTTTGTCTATGTATAAAATTAACAATTTGGTAGATAACTTGGGATCCATGGCATTGTTCTTTATAAAGTGTAGTGTGGTTGTGATGAGAATAGAAAACTTTTTTATAGGTATATAGGAGAATGCCAAAGGATTAATTAGAAAAATTCCCTGTAAACCATGACCTCTGTAACACTTTGCCTAGATGTTTAAAATGTAAAATCCATTGCCCCTGAAGAATAAAAAGTTAACAAAATAACTCCTTCAATTACAAGTGTCATATTGGTATTGGTTTTTATTGAATAACTTATTGGATAATTATTTTTATACCCATCCTAGCTAATTTATAGTTTCAAAATTTACATTTAATGTGTGTGTAAAAGAAACAGACGAAAAATTTCATCTTCTTCCCCTACTCTCCACCCCCTTCCCCTCGACTCTGTAAGACCCCCATGGTTTCTGGCGGGCTGTCCCTGAAACATCAACCTTAGTGAAGCACTTGCCAAATAAAATAAATTTAAATCCAAATTCTCATCAGAGTCGACTTTGTTATTGTCAAATTTGAAGCCCAAGAATATAAATACAACCCAAAGTGTTTTACTTAGTGGAGAAAGACGTGCGTACTAAAAGCACTTGAAATGCGGATTGTACTTCTATTTATTATTTGCAGAACTCTTGTAACCCAAACTATTTGTGTTCTAGAAATAATTTCTTTCTCACGTCATTGATTGTTTACCAACATCCCATCCTCACTACCCAACGGCCTCTTTTGTCTGTTGACGAAACGGCCTTTTTTTTCCTTTTTAGTTGATGAAACAAGCTTGAAAATAATTGCCAATTTTCAATAATTAAAATTTCAAATTTGAATTAGTTTGGATATTCAAGTTAAATTTTAGATATACAAGTGAGATTACTTATCCTTAGATTATGGTATCAAAAAGAATATTCCAAAACTCTTACAGAAGGAACTTTCTTGTTAACATTTTATTCTTCAAGGGAATGGATGTTACATTTTAAAGATTGAGAGGCAAAGTGTTAGAGAGGTCATAGTTCAGGGATAAATTTTGTAATTTAATCAAAAAAAAAAAAAAAGAAGAAGAAGAAATGCCTAGAAATTAGTGTAGAGCAAATTTACTGGATAAGCTAACACCATTTTCTTTTATTTTGTTTTATCTAAAGGCCGTTTTATTCAGATGAGAAATTATAATAGATCAGCTCCCATGACAATGGTCTTGGTCAAAATTGAGGAATGAAAATGTTGATCTTTGCCTGAAGTGAAATAACTAATGGGGTTCAGTTGGGGTCTGGGGGTAGGATTTTTGGTATTTCAATAGACAAACTAGCATGAAGCACTCAATGTACTTGTGCCAAACTTGGATTATTATTATTATTATTTTTTTTGTAAGTTTTGTAACTCAAGTAATCAGAGTGATGGAATTTCTTTAGATGGTGTGGAGATTGGGGCACTAGGAAGTTTAGGTACCTTGGGTCTATAGTGCAGTACGAAGGAGATATAGAAGAGGATGTTCAACATAGGATTAAGGCAGGGTGGGTTAAGTGGAAGAATGCTACGTGAGTTTTATGTGATGACAAAGTTGAAAGGAAAGTTCTATAGGACTGCAATCCGCCCAGCTATGTTATATGTAGTGACTGTTGGGCCATTAAGAAACAACATATATGTAAGATGAGTGTGGCAGAAATGTGTATGTTAAAATGGATGAGTGGCCATACGAGAATGGATCGCATAAGGAATGAAGTTATTCGTAGTAAAGTAGTTGTAGCACCAATAGAAGATAAGGTGCGCGAAGGCCGCTTGAGGTGGTACGGGCATGTCCAACGTAAACCACTAGAAGCACCAGTTCGTGCTTGGGAGGACATTTTTATACCTAATACTAGGAGAGGGAGGGGTCGACCAAGAATTACGTGGACCGAAGTAGTTAGGAATGACATTCTAGATCTAGACCTTCAGGAAAGTCTAATTTTGAACAGAGCTGCGTGGAAAAGTGAAATCCATATAGCCGACTCCAATTAAGATGGGATTAAGGCTTGTTGTTGTTGTTTGACAATCAGAACACTTTTTAAATCTTTGCAAATCTCTGTGAAGGCACTAGTACTGATTGTTTTAGATATTGGTATTACCTTGTATCCCTTCCAGTTTAAGAACTGTAAATCAGATATGTTGATATATTTTGCCAATATTATCATTGATAGGGAGGGATCTGCAAAGAAAATCAAATTATATGATATTGAATTGTAATTTTCAGAAATAAGATGTTATTTCAACGAAAAATGTTGAAAATAGACGGGAGATTCCGTACTTAAACCATAGTGTTTTTCACATTACATTTTATTTTATTTTATATTTTTCCGGTTATTCTTATTTAGTAACCTCTGGTTATGATCTTCCACAGGAAGTGGATCCAACTGTTGAGAATGAAGAGGGGGGTGGTACAGAGGGGATGGATAGTTTGGTTTCTGAGCTAGCAAATGCCATTCCTGGAATTGACGAGGCTATGAGTTTTGCAGAGATGCTAAAGTAATAACTAAAAACACGTCTTTTATCACCATCATTGTTTTTTACTTTTCCTGCCAAAGAATTTATTCAATACGATTAGGACCCCAGACAAGTAGTGACTATTCTCAAGCTTGATTCTTGGCTATAATTGTATTTTCCCGCAGAAAATTAATTCAGTATCATTACGAACCCAGCAAAGTAATGACTATCCTCAAGCTTGATTCTATTTGAGAGTTCCTGCTTGACTAACTTCAATTTGTTTAAGGATTCTTTTGATCCTTTGCTTTATTAAATATACATTAGACTGAAAGCCAAATTTATACTGCATATTTGCTGACAATATTTTGATGGCTTAGTCAATGATATACGTATTGTTTTCACAAGCACACTCACTCTTACGCTTCCACACATAAATTCCTCATACGATGTTTTATTTCCTCTTAGAGCTTGCTTTATCTGCTAATCAATATATGCCTTAAAATTTGCTTGTGCGATTTATGTTCTGCAGATTGGTGCAAACAATGGACTATTCAGTCATAGTATTTGACACAGCTCCAACGGGTCATACACTCCGGTTATTGCAATTTCCATCTACCCTAGAGAAGGGTCTTGCAAAAATAATGTCTTTGAAAAGTAAATTTGGTGGTATGATAAGTCAGGTATGCTCTTGAATTTTGTAGAGTACAATCCTTGACTCTTGTACAATGAGAAAATCAGGGATTACATTGGATCACAAATAAAATTTGTTTCGCTGTCTTAAAATAACCATCTGGTCTTAGTAATGTTATGTTGTATGATGCTTTATATTTTCCTTAGTAATATTTGGAATACGTCTGTTTGCAAATATCATCCTTATGAAGTCATAGCGCAAATTCAGAGGCCTTAACTTGTATTGGATTTGTTTTAACAACCAGAGGAGAGGAGTTTTCTATTTTATATTTTTTTGTCCAAGACGAACCTTTTAAGATATACCCTGTTCACCCTATCAACTTTACATCAAGGTTTTAAATTGTGCAATCATGTATTGAGGCGTTTTCTATTCTTGAGGTGAGGCATAAGCCTCAAGGTGTTTTGAGGCTTAAGCCTCAAATAAAATAAAAATAAAAAAACAAAATTTTAAAAACAAAAACCATAAATTATAATTTAACACCATAAAAAGTCATATTAGCACTCAATAAAGAGTAACAAGTCTAAAATAATTAGTCCTGATTTTTTCTATCCTTATTATTTTTAGTAATCTACTGTTTCTTTAAGTCTGCACTCTTCCTCTTTAATCATGATCAACGTGTTCTCTAACTTCATATCTCTCTAATTGGCTTTTGGGCTGTTTTGGGGCAGATAATGACTTTGGGCTTGGTCCTTTTTTATTAATTTCAGCCCATAAAGAAACATAGAAGTTAGAAAAGTGAGGCTACCGCCTAAAAACCCTGCGCCTTGAGGCCACCTCAGATTATAGAGGCGTGTGACTCTTTTTAACATTATGAAGCGTAAACCTCAAGGCTTTTTCTTAACGCCACATGGGGAGGCGGGCCTCCCATTGCGCAATTTTAAATACTACTCAACATTGTACTAGAGAGTAGAGAATAGAGGCCTCAATAGTCTCATTTATCTTTTTTCCACACTTCTCTGCTCTGAGTTTAACATGCTTTGAGTTTAACATGCCTTCTATCGTGTTTAGTTAGTGTTAACATTGTATTAAAATTTGATACAATTGTGATAACGGAATCTATATTCTCTCCTTTTTTGCTGGGCGCCTGTAACAACTTCTGCCTAAGACCCATTGGCCTAATGGCATGGGGAGGGGAGTTGGGGAGGGCCTTGAATGAGGGGTTGTTGGTTCGATCCACATGTAATTGTTTTTTTTTTTTTTTCCTTATTAGTAATGATGATGACACATGGTATAACATTTGCTTTCCTATTAAACATTTTTTTCCGGTCTTTGAATCAAATAATTATTTTCCTCTTTCTATTTTCTCTGTTGTCAACTCGGCATAACTATCATTGTGCGCCAGCATTTAAGAATGAAAGTTCAATTTATGAGATTGTGATAATTCAAAAACTATAATTAATTAATTAATAGAAAATGAAGAAGTGAGAATTATATTCTGAGTTATTTGTAAAACATTGATGGCAGATGACTCGACTATTTGGTGTTGATGATGAATTTGGGGAAGAAGCAATTCTGGGAAAGCTTGAGGGCATGAAAGATGTGATTGAACAAGTTAATAGACAATTCAAAGATCCAGTAAGACTAACTATCCTCCTCCCCCCCCCCCCCCCCCCCCCTTTTTTTTTTTTTTTTTTTTTTTTTT